GTCTCGAACCCACAGGCTCAGGCAATCCACTCACCTCAGCCTCCCAAAGGCACGGGATTACAGGCTGAGCCACCGAGCCCGGCTGGGTCTGTGATCTTAAGAGGTAAGTTTTGAAGGGCTCAGCCAGTTGATAATAAGATGGACCCTTCTAATCTTTAGTATGAAGAAAGTTCATTTTCAGCCACAAAAATTGGTGATTGTACATGGCCAAGGGTAACAGTTCCTGGAGTAAGCCACTTGAAACATGAAGCTACATATGACATCTGAAGCCTGAGTGAGGTTAAAAATGTGTGTATACATCTATACAATAAACCATGCTATTAAGCCAACATCTGTTTATAAAGGAGTAATTTTAATTAGGCTGCTTTGCAGTCTCAATTTCTGTTAATGTGCAAACTTTACCATGCTAAGACATTAGTAAATTTATAAGTTTTCTTTTTTAAACAGCAGCTTTGATGCAAACACAATGTTTCCAGCATTGGTATTTTGGCTAACAAATCTACAAATCACTCTCACTGTTGATGTTTATGGAATGAGGCTTTTCACAGCATTATTTTTAAAAGTCATTAGTCAAGATAGTTACACAGTGAATGTACTTGGGAAATGTAACAGGGCTTCTGAAAGGATGGGAATGAATTGTGTGGGCCTGTTGATCTTAGTAAGCCTCTGGCCGTTCCTTCAGTAATCACATTAAGGATGTTGGCTTCTCAGGCCCCAGGGAACGGAGTTTTGTGTAAATGGCAGGGGTCTGAATTGGAAGCCATTTTTCAATGCTCAAAGTTGTTCTCTTAAAATGCTAAGTTCTTGGTAACTGTCCAAATGAACTAGGAGTCATTTGTGTAGGAAATTTTCTTCCACAATAATGTTTTTAAGTTATTTAGTATCAAAGAATGTTCCATTTCCATCTGATTTGCTGTGACTTTGAGGGCAATACAGGAATAAAGCTGCTTTTCTAATTCTTCTCGAATTTCACTTGGAGCACCACGCAGTAGGTAGTCCTTGAGTAACTGACAGGCTTTTGCCAGGTTTGGCTGTATCACTTCGGAAGTACACTTCATTGTGCTCTGATCACAGCTAGTTCTACAATCCGTGCCATAGACACAATCCAAATCAGACTCACAGTGACGATCCTTAATAAGTTCTTTCAGGTTTGTCTCTGGCACAATTTTTCTCATATCCACCATTTTCAAATCATATTTATCATTGTATCCTAGGTTTTTGGCACTAGTGTCACACATGAGGAAATTTCCATAGGGGCCATGGAAAACATCTTCCACAAATTCTAGAAGTCCTATGGCTATTTTAGCCTTTCTAGGCCATGATGGTGTGAACAACTGATCCATGCTTCTTCTGAACCCAGATGGAATAAAAAGTTCAATGACCCATGGAAGGCTTATTCCATAAAGAGAGGTATATTCAACACTTTCCATCACATAGAGATCACCGCAGAATCCCATTAGTTTGGGGGTATGTTCTTTATCTTGAAGTATCACCATGAGAAGAAATTCATTGAGTTGAAGAAGTGCCCAGGCTGACTTTGCTTCTCCCAAAGAAACCTGGCCATCTTTGTCTCCATCAGCCACCGTCAGGACAAGATTAACCAGTTCAGGGAGGTTTCCTTGGTCACCCAACTTGGCCTGTCAAGAATGTGGCTAATTATTCACAAGGAATGGAAAAAGTTTCTGTGTAACATTTCCTTTATGGACATTATTGCCATGCTAGGAGTAATCCCACTACTGAATCTCCATAAAGAAATTTAACATGTTACCTCTCCAGATGTTTATGATGCTTCCTTTTCAAGGGAATGAGAACCGTTTTATGCAATCACAGGAAAACCCACTTTAAATATATTTGTCTACAAAATGGTCACTCTAACTCCTCCAGCCCCTCTGAACCTTTAGATGGCTCACCACCACATTAATTACTTCTCATCTTATGCCTGTATTTACTTGCAAAACTGCTTTGTAATGTACAGAAATCAACATAATAAGCATCAGCTGAAAATTATTTTCTCCTGTTTTGTATTAATCACATTAATAGAATTATTTTGTTCAAACAGTATTACTGGCTGGGTGTGGTGGCTCATGCCTATAATTCCAGCACTTTGGGAGGCCGAGGTGAGAGGACTGCCTGAG